TCGTCAACACGTTGAGTACACAATGGAACTCTGCATACATACCGTTTCAAGCGCTTTGGTCTGATCAGAAATGACACAAGAACGCCACTGCTGTCGGTTCGCATCCGTATCCTTCATTGTCTCCAACTAACTGGTTGTGGAGTCTTTAGGACACCAACCTGGAAGGCACGAGACACCTACTCTGCCTAATGTCTCTGTGCAGTTCTTCATGCCTCGTCTCTGTTACGTTTGGATTTCACACACGGTAGTTTCGGACCCGTAGCTCGCTACCAAAGTAGAACAACAGTACGCCGAGTAGGATAGATTTATTATGATCGTTCACAATCAAGTGTATGTTCAACAAGGGAGCAATAGAACTAAGCCAATCAGGATCGGGCCTATGTCGGCCGGCAATATCGGCATAGGCGAGTGCATGAGGTTGATCGATCGAGGTTGATCAATCGATAACGTCTGCGAAACGAGCAAATTATCGATGCACAAACTGACAACGTACGCAATTAAGCCGCAGGCACGTATGCAACATCTCCCCCCAATCCAGTTTTGATCATTGCCCGGGAACGAAACGGTCAATTGGTTTTGGCTTGCGGACTGCAATCGGTTCATCACAACTGGACAGGGCTTGTTTAGCGTCACTGTTTGTTTCTTCGTGATTTCCCAAACTCTCATTTGCGTCTTCAACAGTGACTCTGTCGGCCGGGCGCGAAAGTACATGATCCGTGTGTCGACGGACCGTCTTTCCACCGCCAAGTTCTACGACAGTTTCCGTTCCGGACTGGTTGAACAATGTACCGGGAACCCAAAGACGCTCGTGTGGCGATTTCGTGTAAACTTTAGCATCAAGTTCCTTTTCCTCCGAGGGTCCGACTTGTTTGCTTTTTTGCATGCGATATGTGTGTCGTCGCATTGATTCACGTGGGTCAGGGAAAATTAGGTCTAGTCGTAACCTCAATCACCGCCCAAACAACACCTCTCCCGGAGTTTTATTGATGGATTCTAAAGGTGTCGTCCGCTATGCAAACATAAATCTGTCCAGCTTGGTCGGTAATGACGCTGGTCGCTGCTTGTGCAATCCGTGCTTAACTCTTTGGACGACTCTCTCGGCTAAGCCATTGGATGATGGGTGCTAGGGTGCTGATGTGATATGATGGACACCGTTACTTTCCAGAAAATCCTCGAATGCTGCGCTGGTAAACTGGGGGCCGTTATCTGTGCATAGTGTTTTAGGCACCCCGTATACGGCGAAACTCGAACGCACTTTGTTGACGGTGCACTCGGAGGTGATGTTGGGTACAATATGGACATTAATTCATTTTGAGTAGGCGTCTATCATAAATAACAACATCCTCTCCCCAACGGGCCCGAAGTAATCCGCATGCACGCGCTGCCAGGTACCATTCGGTAGTGCCCACGGGTGTATTGGTCCTGTTGGTTTATTATTTTGGTGTTGTTGGCAGTAGTCACAGCAATGCACCAATTGCTCCATGTTCAGCTGAGGCCACCAAACGTACGATCTCGCAAAGGCCTTATGGCCTTATGCGGTTCACCTCTCCAAGTAGCGGGGCCTAGTTTACCCGTTTCCATCACTGAATAGCAGGTCCTCGTGACTATAGGGTTCATCCCGTCTGCTGTTCATCACACTAATAAGTGTGTAATAAACGTGTATATATATATATATATTCTATCACTCAAATTTTGTGTGATGAACAGCAAACAGAGTAAACCGTATAATCAGGGGGAACTGCTGTTCAACTTTGGAAACCGGCAACCCCAGCTCAAGGACTTAGAGTAGCAAAGTACTCGAGGCCCCGTTAGGTTAGACGTTTTATTGAGCGATGTGACCGCAAAGCTATATATCATCGTGCATATATATATATATATATATATATATATATATATATATATATATA